AACAAAACAAAACAACTAGAAATATCTATCTCCAGAAGCATAGTATGACTACTTGTTAAGCAAGAGAGAACCTATTTCTTTGTCATTTCCTTTGGAAGCCTGGCTTAAAAAAAAAAAAAAAGGTTGCACAAAAGATACATGTGTTCCTTTTCTGGTATTATTACAGGCCCACCTAGATTTAGCTTTCGATTCCAGCTGAGATCAGGCATGTTCAGACTAGCACATCTTTGCTCTGTAAGCACAGGGCTGCTATCATTTCACTGGCAAATTCTCATATACCCAAATTTATGCACAATAGATGCCCTTAAAAATCTGCAAATTTTCTATTTCAGTCAAATACCCACTTGGTTAAATTTAAAAACAAAAACAAAAACAGACCCCCCCAAAACTTATTCTGCTAGTATTAAGCTGAAAAGTTAAGGCAGGCAACTCCTATTAGAAAGGAAAGTTGAATAGTACTTACCCTAAGTATAATGTGCAAGCCTTAATGGGAGACTCTACTCTTGCTCTATGATTTTTAGAAATGAGTCCAGGTCTACACTCAGCTCTCACCCTTTTCCCTTCTGGAAAACTGAGAAGACTCACTGAAGGTGGCCCTGAGAAAGATCATACAAATCAGCAGCCTTACCTGTGGCCATTCAGAAGACTGCACTTTGGTGTGTGTTTAAAACTATGAATAAAGTCAGACACAGCGCATGCTCAGCAGGCAATTTAAAAATATTTATAACATTGTTGTTTCAAAAACAAATTTCCTCAAACAAAGCAAAACTCACATTTCTTATCCATGCCAAGTTTAACATTCTGAGACAAAGCTGTTTTGGAGTTTTCCGCTGGGGAAGAAAAGGCTTCTAAAATTTTCTGTTGAACGAAAAATAGTTCTCCCTTCCCTTTTGGGTACTCTTAAAGGGGTGGAATAGATTTTCCTCCAAGTTTCAACAAAATTCATCTCCAGCTAAGATAAGGCATTAGAAATTCAGTCTATAAAAAATGAATGTAGAGAAAGTAACAAGGTACTAAAAATTATGGGATTTAAAGAATGCAATGGTCATCTGAATCTTCAAGGCAGACTTGCTTTTTACCAAAAAAAAAAAAAATCTTGATACAAACAGGATGTATTCTGTATGTATGCAGAAGTTGCGCAGCGATAAGAATAAGGTATAGACAAACACCTGCATACCTAGAGAAGTTACATTTTTCTTTTGCTAACTAAAATCTGAACTATTTAAAACCGACAGATACAGCAAAAGTTCATGAGAAACCTCATAATAATGTCAGCAGAATTCCTCTGCTTTACATCGCAAGCCTGAAGAGGAAGGCAATCACATATCAGCTGGTAAAATCTCGTGTCATACAAATTTAAAAATGATCAAATATGGTTTTTAAAGTATTAATTGCAGCAGGGACGCCTGTATTAACCCCTGGCTGGGACTTTCTCTTTCTTCTCCTTGAGTTCCCCTAAGTATTCCATTTTACCATCAATAACCAACCCAAACCCTGCACGCCCCACAGATCTCACAGATCTTATTTAAATCTCTCACTTAATTCTTAAGTCTCTGAATGACTTTCAGCCCTGCTCTACTTTCCAGGGGTGCTCAGCTTGCCTCACAAAAGCTCCACAGACATCTCTTAGTATCTCTGATGCTTTCAAGTTCAGCAGAGGGTGTCCAAAAAAAAAAAATCGATGAAAAAAAAAGTTTATTAAAGTGAAACTAGGAGTGCAGATTTGAAGAAGTTGCTTCTACTTTTATTTCCCTCTCAACTCAGCACAGGTGTTTCCTAACTTATACTACTGTGCATGCTGATGAGGGGGAGGGTTAAATTAAGGTGAGGGAGTGGGCCAAGTGCCCGTCCAGGTCCAGCAAGAATTTAGGATCCTCAGCCTCATGTGTTAATGGGTGTGTTTAAAAATCGACCCCTAAAAAGCCTAGAATGAGGTTTCTTTTTGGCAAATGATTAAACCAGTATACTGAAATAATTAAAGCTTTGTCCTTAAAGAAAGCATCAGATCAACAGAACAAAAACAAAGATAAAAATTGCACACATATGCATGCGCACACACACTCTCTCACACACACAGATACACAAAACTAGCGGGTGAGGGGAGAAGGAAATTAAATAAAAGAAAACAAACAGAGTCCTAACAGGCCATTCTCCGAAAAGGAATCTAAATAAAAAGTCATATGATATCTGATAGTGCAGGACACGTCGCCAAGAACCGGAGCGGATTGCCTACAGGAAGAAAGGGCCAGTGTATTCCAGCTCAAAGAGCTTTTCTTTCCTCCTCCTCTATTTTTTTTCCCTTTTCTCCTCGCCTGTGAATGTGTTACTCTCAGGTCAGATCCACGAAGAACCCCAGAATGACAGCTATCACCTTTCACTGCACTCCTGGCGGCACAGCTAGCTGATAGGAGCAGACTAAGTTGGGATCAGGAGGGGCTAGTGCAGGTCTCAGCAACAGCCTTTTACCAGAACCCCTCTGCCCCTTTCACACTCTCCTTGGTCACATCACAAACAGACATCCCCCCCAAAAAGAAAAAACAAAAAACAACACAGAAAACAAAAATGTAAGCACAACAGCCCACAGCAACAAAAGAGTTCAGGAGAAAAAAAATCAGAAACAAGCCAAAAGGGGGAAGAAAAGCTCTTGCCTTCAATATAAAACTTTTTAAAGACTGAGTTTCTTTTTTCTTATTTTGATGACTTTCTCTTTAAAGATGCTGTTCTCCTCTGGCACTAGTAAAAGCATTCACAATCTCTACAAAAGTATAGAAAAGTCGGAAGCAAGACAAGATTTTTCCTGAAGAAAACACATAACTGTAAGAAGTGAGCTACCCTAGAAAATTTTGGATTTGCCAAAAGTTCCCCTAATTCTAAGGTCTTTCAGTGAGTTCAAGTGCAAACACTGGCCACCTAGCTCTTGTTTTTTTCTCTGTTAGGGTCATTGCTGAGGGAACACATACATAGCAAGGTTTCCCCCAAAGACTCCTTGTTATCAAGTTACTTAAAACCTAAGGCACTGACACCTCCCAGCAAGACGGGTTTACTGACTAAACATCATGCTTTGCCCTGATACACATTGCACCCTTAAGAAGCAATTATAAAATGCATTCTAAAATATATGGGAAAATGTATACATCTATATTTTCCCTCCAGTTTCCTTCCCTAGGGACAAAAACATATTTTCAGAGTGAAAAAAAAGTGTGCCTGAATTTTGAAATCACTGTTGTAGCTAGTTTCCACGTACTAAAACACTTACTCATAGTTAGGTACTGCACATAACATAGGAGAATTTTTGTGGTGCTTGTAAATTTTCCCCTTGTTTAGTTTTGTGTCTATTATGTACCTTAACATGATTTCCAAACGACAATCAAAATATGAATGCATTAGGGAAGAACTTTTAGAAAGAAACATTTTCTTGGTTTATAATTGAAGACTATTAGTATAAAGACACAAATGTACAACAGATAAGAAAAGATGGGATTGTTTACTACATTTCGCACACACTGCTCACATGCTGATTTCTTTTTCTTTTGTTGGAGCCTTAATTTGAAAATGATGAGCACTCTGGAATGTTTGCTACAAACACAAATCCACGGTAAAAATACACATGCCCAGGCAAAACCGATCAGGTGGAGAACACAAAGCCCCATGGCTATCAGAGTCACTGGGCAATCTCGGCCGGACTGCCGTCTCCCGGATGGGGCAAGTGATCTCTTGGGGGGGTGGGGGGGGCTTGTCATTTATGTAATTAGAGAGAAACAAATAAAATACAGATATTCACTCCCTTCCACCTTTCTTAATAACTGACAAGTGACACAGTGGTACCTTCTACACAGATGGGTGCAAAAACTTGTGAGACCCGATGAACTACTGTACCCCACTGGAATTTTGGGAGCCCAAATTCCACGATTAACTTTTTACCCAAGTGGCAAAAGTGGATGATTCTCAACACTAAACTGGTTATTTGGTGGACTCATGTTCAGTCCTCCACAGGATTTTGGGGACCCAGGAAAGGTAAAGAGATGATCTGAAGAGATGTATTCAGAACAACTTTTATTATGAGTAGAAAAAAAATAGCATACAGTGAGCATAAGGACAGTTGGATTTAGAAAGATTAAAAGAGGAGAAAAGAGCAACATACCCAACTTAATTAGTCTTTTTCCTTTTTATTTTTTTGTGTATATATATTGAGGTGATGGGGAAAAAAGATAACTGGGTTTCTTTTGAATGTCTGTGTCTTTATAGAGTGAATGTTCTGTTCCCGTCTCATTCTTTTTAGGCAAAAAACTAATAAAAATAGAAAAACATATATCAGACATTAAGCTGACTCCCCCCACCACCCCCCTTCCCTTTGTAAAGAACTCTTTGTTCTCTAGTGAAAATGCTGAAAAATCCCCGGGCAGCTACTCCCTGAAACAAGTGCAAAACACTTAGAGGCTTTTGGGCTGGCTGGGAGCCAGGAACCCTCCCGCTGTCTGGTTAGAAGAGGAAAAAAAGAAGAGAGAGGGAGAGGGAGAGAGGGGAAGAGAGATGGGGGGGCAGAGAGAGACAGAGAAGGAGAGAGAGAGAGAGGGAGAGGAAGGAAGAGAGAGAGAGAGAGAGAGAGAGAGAGAGAGAGAGAGAGAGAGAAATTGGAGCTTCCTTTAATAGACATAGGAAGCAACGTTTTTTTTTTCTTTTTCTTTTTTTCAAAACTGGCGGTCAAGCGTTAAGTAACTCCTGTCTAAATCCACCTGCTAGAAATGAACTTGGGTAACCCCCCAGGGGTGCACAAAGACAAGGAAGACAGTAACATACTCCATACTCTTTCCCACCCCCCGTTGTACTGCTTCCATTCTTTCTGCTCCCATACACAAATGCCCACAGATCTCACACCACCCTCCTTACCCCCCAACAACAAACACAGAGAAATACATGCTCCCTCAGTCTCCTTAAAAAAAAAAAAAGGCTTTTCCATCTCGGTTGCGACACAGTGATAAGGGGTAGCGAACATCTCATACCTGGTGTGAATGCTAATCAGTCAGGAGTTCTCCTTTTCCCAAGACAGGGAACTGTTTCCTTCCAAATTTATTAGAACCTCCTCCACTGCCTCTTTGAAAAACCTTCTTTGTCACCCTCTCCCAAGTCCCGATACTTCTTTAAAAAAAAAATGGCTTCGGAGCTCCTTCTATTCTTGATATTGATTCTCTCTCTCTCCCCCCACCCCTCCTCCTCTCTCCTGTCTGTGTCTCTTCTGAGTGGTCTATTGATAAGTCCCTGGAGGCACTGGGTCAGCCTGCCCGTAGGAAACCAGACACAATGCACAAATCTCCGAGTGCCATTCTGCCATCAGCAAGCAGACCACGTTTAGGAGAGAGAGAGAGAGGGAAAAAAAAAACAGTAGAGCAAGAGACAGACAGAGAGAGAGAGAGAGCGAGAGAGAGACCAACCAAGGGAGGGAGAGACGGAGAGAGGGGAGAGGAGAGGAGGAGAGAGGGAGAGAGAGAGAGAGGGAGAGAGAGAGAGAGAGAGAGAGAGACAGAGAGAGAGAGAGAGTGTGAGAAAAAGACTGATTGGAACAGGAGGGAGGGAGAGAGAGAAAGGGAGAGGGAGCGCGAGAGGGAGAGCGACACTGCCAGTCAGGTTAATCATCCCTACTTTAATTAGCTGTTCGGCTTAGACATAAAACAATTGAATTTGAATGATCTGTCAGCGGGCTCGGCTGAACCAAAGGGGAAAAGCGAATATTACAAAAAGACTGTTGGTGTGTTCTGATAAGCAATACTGCTCGTACTGACAAATCCTCAAAGGGGGAACTATTAAAACTTACAACTAAACAAAAAGTGCAAATACAAATGGCATTTAGAGAAAGGTCTTTTTTTAAAAAAATGGAGTTTTCTCCCCTAGTTTTATGAAGGGTAGATATTTATGTGCAGGTGCCAACATATTAGGGTCTGCGTGTAATGTGTGAAAGTTTATTAACGATGGTCTAGGAGTGCAGCAGACAGATGCTGCAGAGAACAAGACAGGTACAGCCGGATGCCGAGTCTAGATCTTGGAGGGAGATGGATGCTGGAAGAAGAGGCACCGTGGCAAGAGATCAGCACAGACAAAGTCAGTGGGCAGAGAGGCAGGCAGATTTTAGGCACGGCACGATCGTGTCTAAAAAGGCAAAAGTTCTGATGCAATAATAGGTGCAAAATAATCCATCCAGCCTCCTCTCCTAGGAGCACTCCAAGGTACAGTTAAAACGGATTAATCTTTGTGACAAACAGAGCTGGCAAGGCAGACTATGGCAGACACTGAAGGCGATTCACAGACCCAGAGGAGACCAGAGCCAGGAAAAGCCACAGAGATCAATCTCTCCGATGCCCTAATTCAGCAATAAGGAAACTGAGGCCCAGAGACTTGGGCTAATAAATCACGAAGGCAATAGCGATGTCGAAGACACTGGAACCTGGGGCACCAGCAGCCCTCTAGGCTAGTACTCTTTCCAGCACACCAACTAGCCTGCAGCTCTCTTTAAAGATTCTGGCCCAACAGGTATGAAAATCACCCATCTCCAGAATAATAGGACTCCTTCATCTATAGAGCTAGGGCACATGCCTCCAATTTTTAAAAATATCTGAGTAGCAATATTTTTGTGCATTCTGAATTCTAAAGATGCGAATCCTTAATTTCTTCTCGGAGAAAAGCAGAAAAACATAACATTGAACAAGCCCCATCTCAGCAACGTACAGCTGGTACCACATTCCAGGCTGGTGAAGGCCAGTGCATCAGTCTACAAAGACCTGTCCCGGAGTCTGCAATTCTCTCTGTGAATATTGTGTGCTACAGATCACCATAGAAAAAGATGTGGTTCTTATACAACTCATTTTTAAAATATAGGCATACTATGGGGTGAAAGAGATTGAGTTTTTCAGCTTACAATGTCATTTGAAATCACGGCTCAGATTTTCCACCTGAAAGATTAGCTATGGGCGACTTTTCCTATATATTTCAACTGAAACGAGCTACTAAAATAGAAAGGGGAAACTGTAGTATCTGCCCACGTACTTGATGGTATCTCTTTTGCGGACACATATGATCATATTCAGTAAGGATTTCCCTCTTGACTACAGATAAAGGAAGGTAATTTTTTTAAAGGGGAAAGAGGTGCTTATGAAGAGAACAGTGCCATCAGATGCTACTGGAGAGATTACCGGTAAGTCTCTTGTCCTAAAACAAGAACCATGGTGTACATGAAAGTGAAAACTATCTCTTAGTCATGCTTCAGCAATGATGTTGCTACTTAGGGTGAAAGAAGAAAACTGAAGAATGTCAGACACCTGGGAGCCCACTCAAAGGCAGGTAATGTGAGAGAAGTCATAGCCGGAGTAATTTAGTTTATTTGCACACCAACCCTGTTAACAATGGCTACTGTGACAGGTATAAAACACAGGACCACAGTCGATCAGTTTAGAGGGATGAGGGTTCAGTGAATTTCACATTGGTAGGTCCTCCTGCAGGTCTCAAAGCACCTGATAGGCAAGAGTGCAGGGCAGAGCAGTGAAGTGCTTGCTAAATGCATGCTGCGTGAACTGAATGTAAAAGAGAATAAGCTTTGGAGTCCAAGAGACCTTTATAATATTGTCCAAGTCACAGACACTCTCAAAAATTCAGTTTCCCTATCTGTAAAAGGTGACAAAATTGATCCCATAAGGTTGTTTTCAGGATGACATGAGTTAACATATATAAAGTCCACGGCTGGTCCTCACATAGCAATTATTATCGAGGAAAGCATAAAATGGGGGTGTATAAACAAAACTGCCTACTATGGATGTGCTGAGTGTGTTATATTCAAAGCATGCGGGTACAAGATATGAATACACATAGCAAAGCAAAGATGTAATATATGGACTTCTATTAGAAAGGGTTGGCGACAGAGCCCATGAATTAGAAAGGGTTGCTGACAGAGACTAACCCAAAGTTCTAACTTCAAGGATCATCTCAGGGTTGTTTGATCCCTTTGTTCCCAGACTTTGGAATATTTCCTGGCTCATAATAATGCCCTTGCTTGATTTGTGCTAAGCACTCTTAGTACTTTCCATATTTTATTATACATTAGTGTCATAACAGCCCTATGAATTAGGTACTACCAACCCTCATTTCGTAGAAAAGGAAATCAAGGCCTAGAAGGGTTGGGTAACTTGCTCAAAAACACATAGCTAGTGAGTATGGAATTAGAGATGAAATCCAGGCACCTAACTTTCAAGCCTCCGTTTTCAGCCATGATGCTGGACTGACATGCAGTAGGTACTGGTAAATATGAGTTGAATAGATAAGCAAATGCATAAAACACCAGGGTTTTGATCACATTAAAATAGTAAGTGAAAATCTGTGCACAATCTCTTGCGAGAATCTTGTGCTCAGATTATACAATCTATACACCTCTTCTCCAGCTCACTTCAGGTGGCAGGCCGTCCTCAGGAGCTGGGGGCAGCTAGTCCCTGAGTGGTGTTGAAAATGGATGAGGTGAAGATTGCTGGCTAGGACCATGCAAGACATTGAAATATCTGACGGCATTTCCAGCACTTTGAAGGGAGTGTTAGCACATGGGTTATTAATTGGCTTCATTCCAGTTCAGATAATTACATCGTGTCTCTTTAATTTTTCCCTGACCATGCCATTCTTTACTTCCTGTCAGAAATGTGCTCGTCAAAAATGCATATGAACACATATAAACATACAGTGATATTTAAGGTTTGCATAATCCATAGGGTGTTCTTTTTTCTAAATGATTAGTATATAGTAGCCATGTAACAAATGAATGAATAGACAAAAGAATTAAAGTTGTTGCAAAATAACCATCACTAGCTGAAGTTAAGATTTTTGTTTGGCATTGAAATAAACAAATTTTTAAGCTATTTCCTTGGTGACAGGATTCCAATCATATTTTTTTTCTTATGGGCAGATATTTCAAGAGCTGATGACCTGCTTGTGATTAGCTCATTTCCTTATACTATTTAGTTTCCAGCATAAAGTAGAAAGTGAGAAGGGATCCTGCATAGTACGGTATACTGAATTCATGGGTTCTAGAACAGTCATTAATTCAGTTATTACACTGGATTTGGATTTGGCAGGTGTTTTCCTTTGTTAAATAATTTATTAGAATAGTCTGCAAACTTACAGAAGAAAAGGACAAGGGATCTCAATTTAATAAGTTTAGGAAACTTGGTCAGTCATAAACAGACAAAATGCTTCTCTTCTTCCCAAAGAATGCTTGGTCTTTGAAATACTTGAAAAGACTGTATCCATTTGACACTGGAGAAAATCTCCTGGAAGCATATATTTTAATTATGAAAACGCAAATGCATCCACAGCAGAGTGTGGTTTAGTAGTCCTTTTCATTGGACATTTGTATGAACAAGTCACCAAATATAGGATGCATAAAAAGTAAAAGAATAAAGGGTTAATTTATTAACTATGCATGAGAGTTTCTAGACCTTTGCTTCCTAGCTTTTAGTTCAAAATTCCATGCATACTCTGCACATAATAATAAATGCCATAATTCAATGTATGCCATAATTGATTTATTTTCAAGCACCTTTTCTGGTTCAGCTCTCAAAGCTTTCCTTCCTATAAACTTCCTCCAAATTATTTTTTGTGGCCCTCTGTAAATCATTTAAAATCGGTGTTTGTGGAATGACTTGACTGTATAGTGAGATCTGTATGAAACTAGCCCTATTTCCTTTTGGGAATCAGTGGCCAAGTTCCATGCCAAATTAAAAAAAAAAAGAGTGATATGTCAGCCCTTTCTCACCTCTTTGACTCCAGTAATAGTGACAGCAGTCACTCAGTGACTGTGTTCTACTTGGTCACTTATACCTTGAGACTGAGATGTTCAGGACAAGGTCTTTGTATTTACTCTGCTTGACCCACTGCATGTATTGTCTGGTATCATGCCTGCCATGGTGGTAGATAAACCTGGAGGCAACAGCTACTAACTCTCTTCTTTTCTTTTTTTTGTTGGTGTGAATTTTTATTTTTTATGTACATTTCATTGATTATGCTACTATAGTTGTCCCATTTTTTCTCTCCTTCATCCCCTTCCACCTGGTACCCCCATTTTCTCCAGCACTCCCCCACCATCAGTTCATGTCTATTGGTCACATATAAGTTCTGTGGCTTCTACATTTCCCATACTATTCTTAACCACCCCCTGTCTATTTTGTTCATCCATTTGTGCTTCTTATTCCTTGTAACTTTTCTCCCATTCTCCCCTCTCCCTCTCTCCACTGATAACCCTCCATGTGATCTCCATTTAGGTGATTCTGTTCCTGCTCTAGTTGTTTGCTTAGTTTGTTTTTGTTTTTACAGGTTCAGTTGTTGATAGTTCTGAGTTTGTTGTCATTTTACTGTTCACAGTGTTTGATCTTCTTCTCCTTAGATAAGTCCCTTTAACATTTCTTATAATAAGGGCTTGGTGATGATGAACTCCTTGAACTTGACCTTATCTGGGAAGCACTTTATCTGCCCTTCCATTCTAAATGATAGCTTTGATGGATAGAGTAATCTAGGTTGTAAATCCTTGTTTTTCATGACTTGTAATACTTCTTTCCAGCCTTTCATTGGCTGCAAGGTTTCTTTAGAGAAATCAAATGATAGTCCCCTGGGAACTCTTTTGTAGGTAACTCTCTTTCTTTCTCTTGCAGCTTTTAAGGTTCTCCCCTTATCTTTAATCTTGGGCAGTTTAATTATGATGTGTCGTGGTGTGTGCTCCTCTTGGGGTTCAACTTGTCTGCAACTTTCTGAGCTTCCTGGACTTCCTGGAAGTTTATTTCCTTCACCAGTTTGGAGAAATTCTCCTTCATTATTTTTTCAAGTAAGTTTTCAATTTCTTGCTTTTCCACTTCTCCTTCTGGCACCCCTGTGATTTGGACGTTGGAACATTTAAAATTGTCCCAGAGGTTCCTGAGCTTCTCCTCATTTTTTTTTTTGAATTCTTGTTTCTTCATTCTGTTCTGGTTGAATGTTTATATCTTCCTTTTGTTCCAAATTATTGATTAGAGTCCCAGTTTCCTTCCCTTCATTGTTGTTTCCCTGTATATTTTTCTTTATTTCATTTTGTACAGCCTTCACTTCTTCCTTTACTTTGCATCTCTACTCAATCATTTCTCCGAGCATCTGATTACCAGTGTTTTGAACTCTCCATCTGGAAGGTTGTCTCCTTGTCACTTAGTTCTTTTTCTGGAGTTTTGATCTATTCTTTCATTTGGGCCATATTCCTTTGTCTTGGCCTAACTCTCTTAGTTCGTTGTATACTATTGCAATTTATTCTTACTGTGCCCCAAGTTTTTAATACGGAAAAGGCATAATATCACCCTAAGACTAGTGATCTGATGCTTAAACTCAAGTAGCACTGTTGGGAAGATATTTAAAAATTAGCTAGTGAAAAGCACTTGTATTCATGATTTTCATAGCCTTATCACTATTTTAATAGCAAGATAAATATGTCCTTGGATAACACATTTCAAATCTGAAATTTAAGTAAATTTTGAATTAAAAAAATCAGACAAGATTTATATTAACTATTAGAGGTGGTAAGTTAGCACTTGGTTTTAAATTTAAATGTCATCTAGAAATAGTCTGATAGCGTTTACAGAAGCATAGACTCTTAGACCTAGGAGGTATTTAGGAGATTTTCTGGTTCTGTTAGTCTACAGAGAAGAACTGAGTGATAGACATTTTATCAAATAAACTTAAGGTCACAAAAGTTGGTAGAAGCAAAGCTAGTATTGGAACCCAGTTCTCCTGTCTTCTGTTCCCACGCCTTCCTCATTCACACCCTTGCCTTTCATAACCCTGCCACCTTTGTTTAGGACATATTTTATTAAAGAAACTCTTAAATTCTGGTGCTGAGAAAGGGGTACTCCATTCCTAATGTAGTCTAAGAAACACACTAGAAAGGGACTGTGGTGGGCTGAATAATGACTCTGCAAAAGATATCCAGGTCCTAATCCCAGAACCTATAAATGTTGCCTTACCTGAAAAAAGGGATCTTGTGAATGTGATTAAATTGAAGGGTACTGAGATTGGCAGATTACCCTGGATTATTTTGGTAGTCTATGAGTGTAATCACAAGGATTCCTATGTGAAAGAGGCAGGAGGACCAGAGCTAACAGTAGGAGATTTGATGACAGAAACAAGAGTTTGGATTTACTCATAGAAGGGATCATGAGTGCAAGATTGCAGATGGCTTTTGGAAGCTAGAAAAGGCAAGGATATTGGCTATCCCCTAGAACATCCAGAGCAACAGCCCTACCATTATCAGTTACCTTGATCTGAACATTATCTCACAACACAGCTAAAATATTTCTTAGCTTTTTAAAAAAGCTGATATATTACCTTGTTGACTCAAACTGAGCCTGTGATACAAGAATTCTTACCAGTCTTCAGGAAAACATTGACTAGGATAGGTCAAGAATAAATCTCTCTCTCCCTCTTGCCATTAAGAACTTCCTTCTAGGTTGACATGGAGATAGCTATCTGAAGATTGTTGTTTAATGGATCAGTTGCCTATAGATCCACCTAATCATATTTTCCCCTGTCCAGTATTATAGGGGCTCTTCATAATACTTGCTGGGTTGGCAAGGTACCCATAACTCCAAGGTAATCTACAATAGTAGTTCCTAGATAGAAGCAAACTGAAGGATCATGCCACTCTATTCTTGAGTGTCAGAAGATCTAAACTCATTCATGCTCTGGCTAGTGTGCGCCCCGCATTTGTTCTGCTCTTTCCCGATAGTGATCAGAAATAGAGAAAAGCAGCAGCATGAGGAAGCATCATGCAAAATAAACATCCTTCGTATTTGACTATCTTGCCTTAATGTATCATTGCCATTAAGTTACTGCATACAATCCATAGGACAGGGCTCCTAAAAGAATGGATTTGGGCAACATCAGCATTGCCTAGAAACTTGTAAGAAAAATAATCTTTGGGCCTTACTCCAGACTACTAAATCAGACACTCAGAGGTAGATATCTGAGTGCCTATATTTTAAAAAGTCTTTTAGGTAATTCTAAAGCCTGGCTGAGAACCACTGTCATAGCAAATCTATGAGGCTTGGCAAGTCTACTGAACTATGAGTAAGATTGCCTGCTCACCTGGGTGTAATTGTGGTTCTGTTGCCAGCTATGTGACCTTAGATCAGATTCTCACTCTGTTTATCTCCTCATCTACAAAATGGGAATGATGAAAATAACAACAATAATCCTACAGTAGCAAAAGGCTACCGTAGGACTACATACAATCATAAATATAAAAACATTTTATAACTGCAGCCAAGATTATTATTATGGAAAAAAACATTAAGCATTGTGAATGCCCTAAGACAAAGGTATTGGGGGTATATCACCTTGCTATTTAATATTAACTGAGGCTCCAAAGTAACAGCAAGAAAGTTAAAAAACCTTGATGTGTCAGGTCCAATTCTTCAAGCCAAAATGAAGGCTGGAAGTCTGTAGACTTTTCAAGGATGTGATATTGAATAGAGGACCCAATGACCAGTATTTTTGGAATTAAATGTTGAATTTTTGACTTGACATTCTACCTTTTTATTAGTCTCTCTACCTTTTCTACTCATCAGGAAGCAAAATTTAGTGACAGCTCTGAATTCTATATTGCCAATGACAGCCTGTGTCTCGTGGGATTCAAAACAACACTTCTTTATCAATTCTCAGTGATGCTCAGTTTTACTAAAGTGGTCCATGATTTCCATCATTTCCATACCATATTCTTAAATAAGTAAGAAGCACCAGGAAGCCAGGTCAAAGACAACTGGTTATATTCACAGATTTTTCAACAGAAATAGCCCTCCCCCCTGCCCCATAAATTCTGGTAAGTGGGAAGGATGGTCCGGATCAGCATTGTGACTTTTGTAGAGACTAAAGCGATTAGAGGTATGAAAAAACTGACACAACGAGATTAAACACAACAATAATTTTCATGGAAAATCATCAGGATTTTATCCAATCTGTGAGTAATAAAAATTCAGTTATTTATCAATGACACTGTATAAGTGGGAAGAAACACTCCATAAAAGATAGCTAACTAAACCTTTTCGGTCTTGTATGAAATCATAGCAGGTATGCCTTTTGGCCTGAGGGCTCTTCTGTCCTCTGAAGACTAGAGCCTACAGGTTTCCTTCCATCTTGGCTTCCCCTCTGTGCCCTCCAGTACAGCTGTGGTGTGGCAAAGGTTCCGTGTGCGGTGCTGCCTCCTCTGAGCAGCCACAGCGTGTGCGACAGGACAAGCAGATGCACCTTTTAAGAGTTCTCTGTCATAAGCAACTCACCTGTCCTTTTAAACTTCATATATTTTTCATTGGTAAAATGTGGGTAGTATTTGCCTTACCATCTCACAAGCTGTTAACATCACAAGTTGAGGATCAATAGGGAACGATGTATCCAAAACGCTTTGTAAGCTAATGATTCCATTTGCTTGGCATTATTGATGTTATTTTTATTTACACTTCATCAGAAGAGTAAAGGTATGTATAGGAATATTGGGTATGGTAGCCAGAATATTTTTAAACCTTTAAGCTGTACAAACTTCTACGGTTTTCCCTTGAATTTACCCTAATCTCCCTGACAGGTTATAACTAAAGTGGTAAAACTAAAGATTAAGTCCCTATATGATCTCTGAGTTGATTCTCATCAGATATACATTAAATAAGACTGCTGCAGAACTTATTATGGTGTTGCTCTGGACAACTCTGCTTTAAATATATTCCCCAAGTAAAAACTTGTAATTCAGTATTACAAAATGGAAGGAATCATGGCACCCAAGGCTGGGTGTCCAGGAGTGAAAATGTCTTCAAAGGCCATTCCTGGGCAGCATAACATCAAACATCTACTTAGAAATGTCTAATTGCTCGACAAATATTCCTGAACAAAAATCTGTAGTGAGGCTACCGGATGTTCAACATTTAAAAGAAAAGGAACATGTATTGTACCACAATAAAAATTATTATTGCTTGAATTGCCCAAATTGTGTTTAAACAGATATGAGTCGAGTTCCGATGATGTTCTCAAGCATTGTTGCTTTTAAAGTAGCTGTGCGTATATATGGTACCCAATCAGTGAGTCCTTCCAATGAAAGGGCAATTAACCATGTGGTATATTTTAAAATTAGTCATTAACTGTGCAAAGACCATGCCTGAATATCTTTTATTTTTATTTTTTTATTTGGTTATTTTTCAAATAATGAATATCTTGAACTGTTACTTAAACTTTCAATTGTTGTAGACAGTCCTACCTTTTCTGTCTTGTACTATTCTTAACTAGACTATATGCTCCCTGAGGATAATCCCGGACTTATATTTCTCTACATTTCCCTTTGCCTCCAGTACAGTGGTTTACACATAGCATTTGCTTCCAAAATACCTGCTGTTTAATTGGATGCACTTCTTACTGGCATTTCTTGGGGGCAATTAAGGCACATAAAGTGCCCATAGATAAATGCATCATTATCACTGAGGTGAAGTTGCGGTTCTTAATTTTTTTTTAAATTATGCATTGGGCCACTTATTTTTTTCCCATGTGACACTTAACCTGACTAATTATAGAAGTGAATAGAAAAACATGATTCTCTTTTAAAAAGCTCACTTTACATGCAACATTTTGAGAAATTCAGCTAATATGTCAAGCAGAAGTGATGGTGAGGCTCTAAGTAATAATACAGATTTGATGGAAAATATTTTAAATTAAAGCAAGCTACCCATAAAATTACATAGACATAAATATGCATTTCCCACAAACACATATTTGCACATCCTTAAATTTAAATTAATGCAAAGAATATATATATTCTTTTGTTCTGGTGGAATACAACTGATGAAGACTAATAAATGAATAAATAAAGCACTGAGTTCCCACATCAATGTCTGCTCAATTCTGGTCAAGGAGGTGAAGTGAAGTTTCCCTTAGAGTCAGAAAATGTAGTGGATAAAAAAGGATGGGAATAGCTGGGGGGATTTCCTGAGGCCATTGCAGACCAGCTCACACACCATTAGAGGCTCATTTTCATGAGACTTTTGGTTGCATTTGTAACACTTGCCATGGGTCCCCTAGAGCATTAAGTGCCACATCACAGCACTACAAGAATAGGACAAAATGTGAAAAGGTACGTTACAAGGTTCTTTTTCTTTCAGACCTAAATATCCAGGAGTTTGTAGATATTTTCAAGATAATTTTTTCCTGTTTTCGTTCTCCCACCAATTCCTACACACTCCTTTCTATAGGATTATGTGGAAAGGACTTTTTGTTTTTAGTAAAAATCTGAATTCTTATACTTCTAAGATATAACCAACTGCAAAACATGTGGATTAGTACTTTTAATTGTATCCACAGAAAGAACATATTTCATGAAAAAGAAAAGAAAACATGGGTCTGACTGGTAAGTTTGTTCTAGGTTAAGGATTTAGCTAGCTTGATATTTGTTCTCTATTAGACATAGTGCATATTAATTGGTACATATTTTAACATTTCACCACTGCATTAAATTACTAATTTGAAATTATTAGTTGGTACAGCCATGTCCCCGCGCACCCCCCCCCCCCCCCCCCCCCCAGCCCCGGAAACAGTGCCACCTGTTTTTTCTAAGTTTGGTTCAAAACAAAAAGTCTGGCATCTAATTTGTCAAGACAACAAAATGTGAAGTTCAGAAAAAGAACAGGAATCATGAAAAGGATGAGATCCCATCTCGAAATGATTAGGGAGAACAAAACACACTTAATCCTCAAAGCAAATATAAAAGATAAGGCCTTCCTTTTGTAGATGAAGAAGCCGAGGCTCAGAGAGACTGAGTAACTTCTCCAGTATGCAGTTAAGAGGTAGCAGAGCCGAGTGCCAAACCCCTGTGTGTCTGACAAAGCTGGTTCTCTGTTCTTTTTATAATTTTTCCTTTCTTTTTATTAAAGTATAGTTGACATACAATGTTATGTTAGTTTCAGGTGTACACCACAGTGATTTGACATTTACGTACCTTATGATGTGATCACTACAAGTCTAGTAACCATCTGTCACAGCACCGAGTTACTGTGTTATTGACTGCATTCCCTCTGCTGTACCGAGCATCCCCCGACTGGAGTTTGTGTCTCTTATGCCCCTCCGACTTTCTCACTCATCCCCCCATCTCCCTCTCTACTGGCCACTATCAGTTCATTCTCTGTATGCTCTCTTTTCTTTTACACACTCCAGCCCAGACATTTAAGGTCTTTGGCTATTCAGGAGTTTCTTTGGAATCAGCCATCAGGTTCATACAGGGAAATAACAATGACAGCAATAATAATAATTGTTAAATATATAGGTATATGCATTATATATTAAGTACATACATGTACTTAATAGACATATGATTACATACACTGTGTTTGCCATATATATAAATACTTAACAGCCAACACTTATTAGCACTTACAGTGTCAGATATAATTTGAAGCACTTTATTGTTTATCAATTAGCATTTAGTACTATTTATTTAAATATTCTAACATCTCTATAAGGTAGGAATTATTATCATCCAGTTTTACAGATGAGAAAAGTAAGGCATACAACTTGTAAGTGGCACAGCCCAAGCTACCTTCTATTCCCCTTCCTCTCTCATGGACCTTTTACTACCTGTTACCCCTTGATAACATATTTGACCTCTGGCCCATTCTTTAGTAAAAGGTGAAAGATTTATACGATCTGAAGAGAAACCAGAGTATGGCCTATTCTTTTAAGACTTTATGTCTCTTAGGTGATAATAAATAGATTTTAGAAAGTGGAGAACTCAACTATTAACTAGTCAACAGTTTACTTATTAGGAAAAAAGAAAACATAAGTTAGTGGAAAATCCCCATTTGTAAAGGAGAAAGGCCCCAAAGCTGATGTCATGGCCTGAAAAATAGGGGAGACACTTTGGTTAGGTGAACTTTCTGGGTCTTCCAAATTATAACGCATATACAACTATCACTATATAAATCCACTTTCACTCAATATATGAGGCCTGTCCAAAAAGTATACAGCCTGTACTATGAAAAATAGACATTTATTGAAGAAGAAAGAAGATACAAGAAACACTGTACACAGGGCAATGATGCCTCAGTCTCCTTCAAAGAAGGCACCTTGGGACCTCACACAGTTCTTTCTCCCAATCACCATCAGCTTCCCTGTAACATTTTCCTGAATTTCATCGAAGGTCTGAAATCTCTTTCCTTTCAAAGGTGATTTTAGTTTTGAGAAAAGCCAGAAGTTCCAGGGCACCAAATCTGAGCCATAGGGGGAACTGAGTCACCTGGATGATTTGATGTTTCTCAAAAAAAAACTCTGCATGGACGTGATGCATGAGTGGGCATGTTGTTGTGATGAAGCTGCCGATCACCAGCTGCCCATAGCTGCGGCCTTCTGAATCATCCAAATAGCTTCCATGGAGGAATGTTCAAGCTTAATGCAAAGTTTGATGCAGATTCATTGCTCTACTTGCTCAGTCATTTTGAATGCCACGGCCACAAAGTACACATGCTCACTCAACTGTGTCTACCACACTCACTGACTAGTACAGTGAAGTCATCATTGTCTGCGCATGCACGTTTCAGCCCACTCTCCTTGGTTGCCAGGTTATATCAGTGATGTTACACAAACTGTTTTGGTTATATTAACAATGGTTGGACTTCTTCTGGACCAACTTCATATATTTAATGAGCATGTGCTATGAGCAAAGGACTTTGCTAGGACCTAACCTCTAGAAAATGGTCACAAAGATAAGTAAGAAGTCATGAATCTAGTATCTAGGGAGAAAATAAATACCCCATGACTAAAATACAACACAAAATAAAGTGAATACCATAAAGAGTTATTAACAAAATTCTGTCAGTTTTATGGCAGGAGGAACATAATTGATGACAGACACTGAAAAAAGTTACTTGCAGAAGGTAGTGTTTGAGATAGACTCTGGAACATGAGAAAGGTTCCAATAGAAGTTGGAAAGATAGGTCTTACAAAGGGGCACAGAATAAAAGCATAAGGATAAAAAAACACAAAATATATTTGGGGCTGATTTGATTAGTTTCTAGAACACTCTAAGGCTAACAGTGGGAGTTTGAGATGCTGTGGGCAGCACATCCAGATGGAAATGTCCAGTTGGCAGCTGGACACCCATGTCTGTAATACCAGAGTCTACAGGCTAGGACTAGATGCTCAGATCTTCAGGGAGGCGATATAAATATGTGGCTGCAATGTTATGGTTCTATAAAATTGCCCACAGACTGCAAGAATGTGGTGATGAAAACAGCAAACTTACATTCTGTGGGCAGATGAAGGAAGAATGGATGAAGGAGCAAGAAAAGATCATCCATATCTCATAAAAACAGATGCTGTGGAGCCCAAAGGTGAAGAATGCTCTCGTTTGGAACATTCAAATCAGAAACAGTGAGGCTTAGCACTGCCAGGAGGAAGAGGCATATTTAAGAGTTAGAGTCTTCAGGACTAGATTCATCTTTGAAGAACTGCCTCTTGTTCCTTTGCATCCTTTGCCCAAACTCATACAAGCAAGCACTCAACCACACACACACACAAATGTCCCCCGGCCCCGCCCACTAGGGCATTATTAACTTTGATGCACTCAAACTACATCTGGAAGTTTAATGAGTAAAGTCTGAATTTTATTGCTTGAGTTTTATTTAAAAGATGACTGACTTTGATGCACAGGTTAATTGTTCCTTGATGGGAGTGCAAATTTATTCCCATTTAGTTCAATGAATACTTTGGGGGACTTTCATTTCTGCTAGGCATTGTGCTAAGTGCTGGGATCAGGAGAATTTCCATAAATGCTTAGATGGCTTTTACCTGTGAGCTTTGCTTCCTGTGGTTGGCATGAAGTTGATGCCTCTGTGATGATGAGTTTCAATTCCAGCCTGTAACAGTTTCTGTGTTCGTATTATTAAGGTGCATATTTATATGTAATTTTTCTGTTCCAAGATGCTTTCAAACAGCTTTAAGTAATTTTTGGTATGAGCATAAGGTGCTTCGGAAGAACAAACCAACTCCAGGCCACCACAAGAAGTGGTTCTTGTCTTTGCCAGGGCGGTAGTGTGTTACGTGGGTAAGAATACTTTTTCAAGCATTTAAAATGACCACGGAAATCTTATTCTTGACTGTATCCTCTGAAGAATAAATGAAGAATAATAATCAGCTTTAGATAGAGAATTAAAAAATAGTTTCAGAATACTTTTCAAATCTTGGGTCAAATGAAGCAAGGAAACTATATGGAAGAGTAGCTATAAAAGCTACCCTTGGGGCGCATATATGATATTGTATATGTACATATTTTTCTAATATTGGCCTGGGATATCACTTTAGCATTCTACTGTACGTACAAATATTTTTCTTCTACAAAATAGGAATCTTGCTGTATATATTGTTTTGTACCTACATTCTTTCAAGACATATTTTTAAGCCCGGTATAGTATTTCATTCCATGGACAAAGCAACATATATTTAAGTGATTCCCTATATTTTGGACATTTTTGCTACATTTCAGTTTTTGTCATTTTCAATCATGTTCTGTTAAGCACCAAATACTCACAGCTTCTGCTATGCTATTATTTATTGGGAAGAAATTGGAAGCTTTAACACTTGATATCAAAAGCAAGGAAAAGATACCCTCTATCACAAGTGAAGACAGAAAAGTCAAATGCCTCCGGGAGCCAGGGTGGTGGAGAGAATGAGGGAAGCGGGTACAGCACAAAGTCTGGGGTGACGGAGGGAGGCTTTGTCAAACTGGAGAGGAAATGGCCTGTCTGAAGGAACAGCCACCACTCTGTTCCAGATACTGGCGCCATGTACAAATGCAGGTCTAATACTGCCAGATCTTCACATTTTCAAGAGAAGCTGAAAATAATCCGGATATTTTTTGGTGAGATCTCTTGATCTTTGAAAGTTGGCTCAAAGTCTCAAATTATTTTAAAATATTCTTTGCACCAAAATTAATTCTATGGGCTAGCTAGATGCAGCTCATAGGCCCTAATAACCTTCAAATTAAAGAAAGGGAAGCCTGGCACATGGAAACATATTTCTAGGTGGTGAGTTAAGCTGATAAAGTTTTGCTTCAAGTGTTCCCAGTAATAAGGGAAGGGATGTGGAGAAACTGGACCTCAATGCACAAATGTTGGAAGATGGGTCAGTACTGCTCCCCATTTAATCACCCACAAAAGATTAACCACAAACTTCTGAAATGTTTCAGACTTCTCAAAGAAACATGCTTTAATTGTATGACACTTTAACCCAGTGCTCAGTATGATGCCATCTAACAATAATTTCCCTTCATTTCCCATCTGAACAAACATTTCCCATTAACATCCACCTGTACTACTTTCTTTTGTAAAGAGGAGGTGGTATTTGGCTATGCTCTGGTTCTGATTCATGAGAAATCAGCCCAAGCCCAACATATCTGTTCTTGACAGATTTTGGTTTTTAAATCTGTAGAACACAATGTTTCCCTGGGCTGAGTTCTAGCACGCCAAGTTTTGG